TCTGGCACGGGGAGCGTGCGGATGTGAGGGCAGCTGAGTGGAAGTTGGCCCCCGCCGCCTTCCTCCCTGGCACAAGTGAGCCGCGGTGTTCCGTGTTCCGGCGGCCGCGGCAATCCCGGGAGCGCTTCCCGAGAAGCTGGGCGGCTCGCAGGCCGGCAGCGATTTGACTGAGTCATGGCACGGAGCGCCCAGGTGCGGGAAGCGCCGGGCTCGCCGCCCGCTTCCCCGCGGCCCTGGGGAGAGCTCTGCGCGGGCTGCGCTCCCACTGAGAAGCCACCCGGCAGGGAAAAGTCCTCCCTTTCCTTTTCCTTCATTTTTAAATTTTTTTTTTTTCTCCTGAGATGAGAAAGTTTTTGTCATCCAAATTTGATTTAACAGCATCTGAGTACTGCTTGCTGTAACGACAACAAGAGCGGACGTCTCGGAGAGCGAAAGTGCCTCGCGGCGCGCGGGCAGGTTGGGGGCTCCTTGCTGTCCGGAGCTGTTGTGCTCCCCAGCTTGTCCTTGAGAAGGGCTCTCTGAACCTAGCAGCCTYCCCCCGGAGGGCCTCGCGTGGAGGCTCGGTGTTGACCCTTGGGCGAGACAGCGCGTTCCCCAGAGCCCACGTACGCCTGCACGGGTGTTTGGCCGACCCGAGAGGTAAACAGCAGCGATTGGGGGCGGTTTAGGTAGACCTGAAAACTGACCTCCCGCTGGGCTGCTCTGCAGCGCTGAGTTACTTATGGAAGAGAGAGACCCAGGGATTTTTTAGTTTGTTTTGCTTTTTTTTTCCCGTTGAAGATTTCTGTGGAGCTTAAGTGCCCGTAAAACAAGATGCTGTCAAGTGCTCAGCACAACCAGGCTGGCCTGCTTTTTTTTACTTTTTAACCTTAAGACTATTAGGAAAAAAAAATCAGATGGAAATATGCTGGTTCCCTTCTGCTCCCTAGATTTGTTTGTTTTTCAACAAGTGCACTAATCAAAACTGAAGGAAAAAAAGCAAAACTTACAGTAATGAAAACTAGATAAGTGAGCTAATATTTTATGTCATAAACCTGAAAGGCTGTTTCAAATGCTGTCGCTGTCACCTGAAGTGTTTTGTAGTCAGCTCAGTTAGGTTTAACCTATTATTCTGCGAAGGATGACAATGAAACAAAACAGAGCAGCGGTTAAGCAGACACACTAGGACTCAAATAGGAATTAGCTTAGTGGTGATCGCGTTTGCCTGTAGGTTCTGCTTAACATGGGACTGGCTTAAAAGAACAGACATGGGGTGGCCTGTTTAAAAGCTTATTTTGCTGTCGCTTCTGAGGCAACTTTCCCCCCTGTTTTTTAAGGTAGGTGTGAGGTTTCTGTGCTAGCAGCTGTGTTGCTGTTAGCAGTGAGGGCTGGGAGCACTGCTGCCTTCGGCTGCATTAGGAACCCGAGCGTGCTCCGTGTTGTGCGCGGCGCCCGGGCGGCTGCCCCGGGGAGGCCGAGCCCGGGAGCTGCCTTTCCCACCGACAGCCCCTCGCAGGGCTGTCCGAGGAGAGCCCCAGAGGCTCCTGTCCTCCCTGCCTCTTGGATGAGCTCTTACAAGAACTGGCCTCAATAAAGTGGCTTGTGTTCTCTCCCAGTGCGAAGGTGCCTGGGCTGGGSGAGCGTCTGGGGCAGGAGGAGAGCGCGGGGTTTGCAGCTGAGCGCTGGCGTGGGGCGAAGCTCCTGTCGGGAGGGTTTTGGCAGGGCCACCTCGTAGGTGTGCTGCTGCAGGGCACCATAGCTGGGAAGGGGCCGGCTTCCTCGCCCCTGCTGACCCACACCAGGAGGTGCCATAAATAGCAGAAAAATATCCGGTGGAGAAATGGAATAATATCCTYTTGGGGTAATAAGTGCAAATTTTGAAATATAAATTGTTGCTCAGCAGAGGTACAGTGTCAGGCAAGTGGAAAGACAGATATAGGCAGAGAATGAACCCAAACAGAAGGAAAATGTGCAAAGGGATTTGCACAATTGTGCAAAAAGARATTCAAATAGGAACAGGCAGCCTAAATAGACTTGAAGTGAACACAAAGTTTTATGGTAACAACATTTGTGGTTTGCTTTCCTCTTCCTGCTACTAGGCAAAAATGTTAACGCTAGCTGAAAAGTATTGCTTTGCCTATACAAAATCAGGGGGAAGCTTCAGATGGTATAGGACTCTACTTTTGGGGAGGATATGATGAAATTAGGGCTTTGATACTTGCACTTGAAAATAATGTATTAAGGTTAGTGAGCAGTATTTTGAGGGAAATTTGTGATCACATAAAAAACTGCCTTGAGTTCTTAGATGGAAGATATTCCTGCAGAAAAATGGGTGGAGGTCTCCTGGTAAAGGTGAATGTATACACTTTAATGTTTCTGGGTTATTTATTTGRAATTCACTCTGAAATGCCAACAGACCAATTTGGTTGCTTGTTCGGCAGTGTCTGTTGCAAGTTGCTTAACTTGATGGTTAAGGAAGGAGCACAGGAACTGAGTCCTGTGTAAATATTCCCAGTGCAGAAAGGGGCAGACGCACTTGTTGGCCACCTTGCTCTCCTGGCAGCACCTTCCTGGCTTACACTGTTGCTGCAAGTCACTTCTCCTGTTCAGTTGCCATGCCTCGAGACAGACACCCTTTTGGCTGGGCTCTACCTTTTGTTTCTAAATATTGTGGTGCCTTAAAGGAGAGGACAGAGCTGCAGCTGTAGACCAAATCAGAGGAAGAGCAGAAATTGTGCTTTAGTCACTAGTTTCTAAGAGGCTGAGTTCTCTGTAGAGAAACTTCTAATCTGTAGGACAAAGAATTGCACCCTGTTCCRTTTCATTGCGAGAAAGAAAACGGGAAGGGCAGTCAGAAGAGATCACTTGGCAGATAYATAAAGAGCTTATGAGCCTTGACTGTAACTGTTACTTATGTATTTTGTTAYTATTATTTAAAGGCAACTATGGGAATATTTAATTGGCCTCAGTGAATTTGTGTTGAGTAGTGTCTAAAAAGTCTATCTCGCTACGGTTGTCCTGTTGTACGTGACATTAGGCTGATATTGTTGCTGCTGTTTTATGGTGAGCTTGAGGATTTGCTGCTGCTGCCCCCCTGTATTATGAAAACGAGGAGAGGAAAAAAGAGAAAGACTTTTGGTATTGAAGTGAGCTCTGTTTTCTGTAAGGTAGATAAATATTTTATATAGAAATAAATATATATGTATATATGAAATAAAAATCTCCTGGGGTTTATTTCTGTTTTTAATGGTTCCATATGACGTGCTTAAACATGCATGTTCTATAGCAACTTGTAATAGCAAACAGATAGATGCTCAAACAAACCAACAAAAAAAGCCCCCCCAAACACCCTGTAACTTGTACTTAGTACACTAGCAAAGTTCAGGAGAACCTAATATTAACAGCAGKTTTTTTTTGTATTTTCATTTTTTATTATAGCAGTAGGAGTTATAATTAACTTTCCACAGAAATAACAAAGAAATTTCTTTTCCTGAACTCTTATAAACTGTATGTAGCTGTTYGGAACAATGTAAAGCAGTTGTTTGATGCTGACATAATGGGAACCCTGTGTATGTTTTGAACCTTGATGGAGACGCAGGGTGTTTTCTTTCCAGACGGATAGAAAGCTGCCTTCTCTTGGAAATGGTAGCATATAAATAAAATACTCCTCAGTGGTGAGGGATAAAATAGTCTATATCAATAGCAGTGAATAGAAATAGTCTAGAGAACACTTTCTTTCCCCCAGTTTAAGATGATATGAACAAATGAGTATACTTTTAACAAGTGCTTCTTCCTTCTGCTGTAAGGGATCTCCCCTCCTTTCTTTTGGTCACAGAAGATTCTGTCCACTTTTGCTCTTTAAAACAAAATTGGGAAGGCCTTTGAGGTGTGTTTATTACTACTTATTGTCACTCCTGACTGTCCTGCCATTTCTTGGTTTATTTAACTTAATCTTTTATTTTTTTTTCCCTCCTAATTGAATCCATATGTTAAGGCTTGCTACTGTTCTGTGGTGCAAATTGGCATTTTATTTTATCAAGAATACAAGAGAAAGTTCTGAAACAGTCCTGGGATGCAGCTTTTAATGGTGTTTACCTTTTTCCAGGGTAAATTTTCCCCTGGTTTTCCAGAGGGTTTTCCAGCTTACTGGCTATGCTGCTGGATCCTGATGCTGGCAGCAGTTCAGCTGCTTCTGTTATCTCTAACTGCCCTGCAGGCTTTGAATAGGTCTCCTTTGGCTGCTGACCTTCGTATCAACACYTGTACCTTTCTCCTAGGTGGTGCGTTACCCTGGCCAGAGCTGCTGTTTTCYCTCAGCTGGCATTAGCCCGAGCGGGTGTGCAGCAGCGGGCAGGGCTCTGAGCTGCCTGCAGTGTCTGTGTTCTCCACCTCTTGTCACTCCTTTCCCCTCCCTTTCTGTTTCCCCGCCTACCCTGAGAGTGAGGGAACYTTCTTGTCCATGCAGGAGAGAGTTTCCCTTTGAAAAGCTTCACTATGATAGTTCCAGGGGGGTAGGAGTTAAAGGTGACTGAAAAGAAGAGGGCCACTCTCCATATGCCAAGCAGGAGAAGGGCAGAGTTCAGCCAAGCAAGGGGAGGGGGGGAGGAAGTCTATTTTTGTCTGACTCTTATTTTTATTGTAGTTAATTTAACTATTTTAAGCATCCAAACTTGCTGCTTTAATATTGCATAGGGTGATAACTGTTGACTGCGGATTTACCATCAGATTATTTAATGAGGCTTGTCACCAAAAACAGCGCTCAAATTGTGTAAATTACAAAAGGAGTCTGGGCTACCTATAAGTTTGCATCTTCTAGCACAAGTTTATGTAGGAATAACAAACAAGAGCTGAGAGTAGTTTCCAAAACTACCTTATTCTTCCATTTCCCTATTTTTTTTCCACATTSCTGTCGGTTTAAGGTTTTTACTAATTAATTTTGAGGCTATCTAGTATTGCATTCACCACTTCTGCTGTGGCCTTATGTTTTCCTTGGCAGTATACTAAAAGTAATGAGGACTCTTCAAAAATATGACTTAGCTATTCACAGATGCAAAAGCACTTCCTTCTCTGTAGTGAGTACTCTTTAATACTTGAGGTTCACAGGACTCTTTTTGATGAAAACAAAGCAAAGAAGACTCTGTCTTTGAATCAAAGCTGGTCAAGAATTTTGTTCTTAGTTATTGTCCAGCCAGCTAGAAAGTTCAAATTACTGGTACTTGCTTTGCCGATGGTTCTGTTAGTAAGACTKGGCTTTCTGCAATTTAGAGCTGTATTTTTCTCCTGCAGTAGACATATTGTATTTGTAGCTCTTAATATACAAAATGAAGCATCAGTTCATGTTAGACCAACAACAAGCAGGTAGGTCACCGTGGGTGTATATACAATCGTATTAATCAGAATGGGAGAAATTGGCATACAGATGTTTATGGGGTCGTTTTTTGCTGTTCCTTACAGATCAAGCATGGATCTGTTCAGGAAGAAAATTAATGCGTCCTTGGACTCCTGAAGGAAGAGCCTTCCTGATGGGACCACTTTCAAGGTAAATGACATATTTGTGTTATTTCCCTTGTTTTCTGGCTTGGAGTCTTCCTTTTACTGAATCCTTAATGTGATCTTCTGCCATAGAGRTGTTATTTTATTTTTATGTGCTGATTAAACAGAAACAAGGGTTTTTTTAGTGTGTTAGTCTTTATTCTGTTTGTTTGCTTGGTATGGATTTGGCTGGTAAGTTCTGGAGATCTGGTCTGCTCTGGGGGATAGTTAGTAAACAGAGAAGTACCTGTTTTACATATAATTCCAGGGTGAAAAAGGAGGTCAAATAAAGTTTACCTGGTTACACATTTATATTTATTTGTTTCAAATAGTCCAAATTGAGCTCCTGTGGCAAGGGACTGTCTCAGTGAAGTCATTATTAAATATTACACTGCAATAGCTTGGAGCCATTTAGYATCGCTGTCAGTTTGTTTGGATGTGCTCCCTTGGTTTCCATTTCCCAAATCCTATTTTCCTTTGGTTCTCAGGAATAACTCTCCCAGTGTGTCCTGTGATTGTCTGCGGGCACTCACCTGCTTTGTGAGTTTTGCTCTTCACCTGAATAGTTGTTCTTTTGCCTCTGGTCTCCCCTAGGACCCACTTGCATTGCCTCCAGTGGCAAGTTTTGTGAGCACTAGTAGGGAACTAGTAGGGAACGCTGCAGTCCTCTGAGATTGCAGCCTGAAAGACTCCCGGTAGAGATCCATTTTTCTGCAGTCTGTGTAGATTAAAGGGGTATTTACTTTAAAAAAATATATATATGTGGTGCTTGACTTCATTCTCATATAGTAAGAAGCTTGGGCATCTCCTACACGATAGCAAATCCAGACTTGCTGCAGTGTTTCTTAGTAACCTGGGCAATTGTATTTACTGGAAAGTTAATTTTATGACTACTTACTGATCTTGGAATCAGCAAGATACACAATTAATTAGGCATTTCAAACTTTGCAGTTGTGGTCAGCAGCAGATGGTCACTTACACTGCCATAATAGAATGTAATAGCCAGTGGCTTTTGTGGAAATAAGCTTTTTGAGATCTCCTGTCTTCAAAAGCAGCTATAAGGGATTGAAAGCTTTGTTTCAGTATTCTCTCACCTTCATTTAAAAGGTATTTTATGCAGCCAGGGYCCCAAAAGTATCATCTATAAGTTAAGTGTTTTGCATCAAGGATGTCATCTTGTCAGGTGATTAACCTAARGTTTGGAGAATGTGAGGATCAGTATATATGTGGCTACAAGTTATAGCAGTTTAAATTCCTTTTTTTGCACTTCTAAAGAGCAAAATGAAACAGTTGTGCTGTGTTATTTATTTATAATTTGCAAGGGAGAGATGCTATGTGACCTTAGGATTTGAAGGGTAAGAGTTAGAAGACTGAAAGTTAGTCAAGTTGTTTAAAGCTGAGCCTTGTCTGTGAGAAGCCTRTAATGTTAAGGTAAAAGTTATACATTGTCTCATTGAGTTTTAAGTTTAGGTCTGATGTTTTTACATGAAACTCCCAAAGATGCAACTCATGACAAGGCACAGGTGAGAACTATAGCAATGGTATATATGTTTCTTGTACACAGAAGCTTCAGCCATATATACATATAGCATTTTCCTATGAAAATTAGTAATGAAATATTGTGAACTCATATAAAAATGTCGCGTATAGGGTATGGGAGGAGTTTCCGCCTTGTAAGCCTGTTCCAAAGTTCCTCCTTAAAACTGTAGTTTTCAGACTGCAGGTCACTGCCCAAAGTATGAGAATACATGGCACGAAGTGAAGTTCATGTGCTTGCAGTTGGAAATAGGAAGTATAACTGGAAAAAGATCCTAGTTCCTACTTGAAAGCTCTTTAAAGCTCCAGGGAAAATGGAAAGGAGGTAGAAGAGTAAATTTGAGTTCTGTTCTGCAGATAGTCCTGCTGATGCCAGTGGAGCCATTTGAAAGAGCAAAGGGACAACTTGGTGCAAGCAAGACTGGCAGAGGGAGCTTCCAGTTAAGGAATTGTAGAACCTATTATGTTTTACTTCTAGTGACAGGTTGCAGAGAGCAACAAATGGGTGTAATATGATCTTAACTGGTAGTATGTGCCTTCCTTGTTCAAGGAGGGGGAGGAAAAAAGAAGCCTCAGAATATGAAGCTGCAAATGAAAAATTACCTTTTTTCCTCTCCTCCTTCCTTKTTTTAAAGAGAAGGGATGCCGTGGAGGTGAAAGAAACTGTTTCTCTGGAACGTGTCAGAGCATGGTGATGTTTGCCTTCTAGGAATTAAAACAGGCAGTGCTTCCATTTTGCTGGCCTAGTAAATTAGAGGTAAAGGGATKGTTAACTCGTGGGGTAAGAAAAACAGCCCACGATATTTCTGCAGCTTGGCATTTAATATTTTACCGCAAACTTTTTAGTTTAACATATTTGAACTTGTACTAGATAGGGTTAATATGCTAGAACAAAAGGTCAAAGCATAAGGCATTAGGCTTAATTAAGGGAGAGCAGGAGTGGCAGGAGTATGTGACAGTTAAATGGGTTTCCCACAGACTAATGTCTGTTACAGTGCAACCATGCCTCAACTTAAGTGGGTTATTTTGTGCAAAGGGCAATGGTGATTAGCAGTTTGACATGCCAGACATTTCTGGCCAATCCCATCTGTTTTAGAGGTTAAAAAAGCACACCTTTATGAGCTGATAGATTGATTTGTGTGCCCCTCTGGTAAAGATTAGAAGTCCAAGGCCAGTGCTGTGAATGCCGGTTACAGAATATTGTACTTTCTTGGTGGTTCTTTGTTTAAACTGTCAACTATTTTGTAATGGGTATARCTGCTGTAAAATTGACCCTACAGTAAGAAAATTGTGGCAGGGACTCTAAAGCAAGTGTTCTGGACTGGAAAAGTGCAAGTAGGATGTTCCCTCCTCAGACTTGTTTTGGATTTGGGCCTGTAAGTTTGGGCCATTTTTGTGATGCTTTACTTGCAAGAGAAATACCTTTTGTCATAGAGCTATTGTGGTGTGTTTCTGCATGGAGTTCACAGCTTGTCTTTATAAGCATCTTTTTATAAAATATATTTTAGTAGCTACCTGTCTCAGTACTAACAGATTTGAGTTCTAACATAGTTCTCTAGAAGAGAATCTCATTACGTAAAGTGATTCAGTATTTATACTTGGCTTGGTTACCTTCTCTGTTTTCTTCATACTCTATTATTTAACTAGGACCCATATATGCTTATTTTTGTTGATGTCTTTTTCATCATAGCTAATATCCTCTGGATGCTTTTTCTTAGAGAATCATGAGGTTGCCTTGCAACCCTAAAATAAAATAGGTAGCACAATAAGTCTTGACGGCCCTTCTTGCCATCTTTATGACTTTGTAAAGTCAAAGTAACATTACTATTAATATAAGACTATTAATAAATCGTTGATGCAATAAAACTGTTTTTGATAATGTTCAAGGTTCATACATAGTTGAAGGTGATAATCCTATTTTAAAATCAAGCAGAGGTCAGACTGTGTTGTAAGATACCGACTTTGGCCCAAATAATGTGCAGTAGCTTCACAACCAATGTCAATTTTTGTTATTTTAAATCAAATCATACATTTTATTCAAAGTGTTAACTAGAGGTGTATTTTGTGGTAAGATGCTGATTGCTTTCCACAAAATAAAACCAAAACTAGTGATATTCGTGTGCTCACTTAAAAACAGCAACTTCAAAGTTTTATTTTTAAAAGGCAGTTTGGTTTGCCTGTTCTTTCTCTGCCCCCCATTTAAGCAGTGACACTTGTGGCTAAGTAGAGCTSAGAAGTAAGACAGTATGGAATAGCATTTGGCATCTTGCATTTGACTGTCCTACTTTAACTTAAGTTAGTCACTTGTCTAAAAGTTCTTTTTTATCCTCTTGCAAACATGATTTTCTTATCTTACCCTTTCTCACTTTAAAAGTAAATAAATTAAAGATGGTAATGACTTGATAGTCATTTGCTGCTCCACACACCTGATCTGTACTTTTGCTATAGCAGCTGTGGTTGCTTTCTGAATTAATGTGTTAATGTGTGATTTATAGAAACGTTGTCTTCTCCTTGCCTAGCTCTGTAAGAACCTCTTTAATTCTTTTTTTTTTTTTTTTTTTTTTTTGGTAATGTGGAAGTTTGTCACTTACGTTTGATGTTTGAAAAGCCTGGTAATATTTTCCTCTTCCTTTTGGAGGAGGAAGGCAACATCATTATCTTGCAGTTTATTTAGTAACACGGAGCTGAAAGAGGCATATGCAGCCTCGTGTTCTCTGTGGAATAATATCTATTTAAATGATTTGGATCTAATACATATTTACATGAAAAAACATCTTGCCCTTCTCTGTGGGGAGAGAAGGTGAACAAGCATAAATTCTATAACACTCATTGCTTCTCTTGCACTAAATCATACTTAAATTGCAGAATGTTGTTGGCTTGAGAGTTGTGGAAAAAGTGCTTGGCTGGTAAAGTGAGAGTGTAGAGAGATTTATCTAATCTAATACGAAGAAAATGCTGTCAGCTGCGGTGCATTGATATGTGATTGCCCAAATCCAAAGGCAGTGCTTAGTTGCTGTGCGTTCATACTGTAATATTTTTGTGTTTATAATACATGCACACTGCACTGATGGAGAGTTCCAGGATTATATGTTGTGTGTGTTGCACTTGAGCTAATGTAATTGCTGTTGATCAGAGCCGAGCCACTGTGCAGTGTCTTGGGGAAGGGATGGATGATGTGCCTGCTTTTCTGTGGTTCCAGGCTGGAAGCTACTTAATTCTTGCACTGGTAAAACATCCAATGCTAAAAACTAGCTTTCTGCTCTAAGTATAGCACAGATTCAATAAAAAAGGTTTGTAGGTAACATGATGGTAAGGACTGTATTTGTGATGGTAACACAGTATGTTTTTGATGGTGATTTTCCCCGCCCTGTATCCTGAGGATTTTTTTCTTCTTTCCTATCCTAAGGATGAAGTCCTAGGTCTATGGATGGCAGCAGAAGTTTTGACAGTGGTTTTGCTGGGTCAGGGCTG